GTCTTCCTTCCGACCTCTTCATTGAGAACCCCATTTCTAGCATAGGTCCAGGTCATCTTCCCATTTGGAGCGGAATTGCAATGTGATGTACGGAATGTCTCCCAAGAATCCGGTAATGAGCCAAGCAAATATAACCCAAGGACCTCATCATCAATTTCTATTTTCATGGCATTCATTTGCTGAACAATTCCCACAAACTCATTAATGTGATCAGCTATCAAAGTTCTCTCTTTGTACTCGTAATTCATCTATTGCTTAATCAAGTACATCTTGTTATTCCCTGTTTCTTTGGCAAAGAGATCTTCCAAACTTTTCCACAAAGTTTTAGCATTCACCTCTTCTGCAACATGATTAGAAACATTATCATCTATGTATCGACGAATAAAGGCATAAACTTGTTCATTCTCAAACTTCCAATCCTCATCTGTTTTTGTCTTAGGTTTATCCGAAGCAAAAACAGGTAGATGCCAACTCTTTACATATAAGAGATCTTTCATTTTTCTCTTCCACATGTGATAATTGGTTCCATTCGGACTTATAATTTTAATGTTACTCTCTATATTGTTCAAGCTGAAAGTAAACAACCAAGCTTTGATACTACTTGTTGGGCAAAGAAACACAAATAACACAACGAGAACCCCTTTGCCCTTGCTTGAACAATCAACCACAGAGCTACAACCAAATACCCAAGCCAAACAGGTAACTAATAATCTGAAAAATAAGCAACCAATCACAATCACACAAAGCACACAATTTTTTATGTGGAAAACCTCCTCAATTTTAGAAGAGAAAAACCACGGGACCGGAGTCCACTATAACTTCCACTATCAACAATAATAGGTACAAGGAGTTCTCTCTAGATTAAACTAGATGAATAATCAGCCACAAACATAAAAGGTTACACACCCTTGGCAAACCACATCAAAAGATGATACACAAAGAAAGTAGAATAAACCAAGTTCATATTTCACCATAAAACAGCACTGTTACGAGCACAATATCTCTTTTTCCAGGACTTGAAACCCGATCTCCACCGTCCAGACTGTGCTCCTGCCTCTCCTGAGCGTGCCCACCAAATTTGAGCTCGATCCAACGGTTAACGAACCCAGAAACTCAATTTTAGCATGACTGATCTGTGCTGAAACTCTCTTCCCTCTTTCTCTCCAAAGTTGCGGCTCTCACTCCTTTTTCTCTTCTTTTTCTCTCTTCCTTCTTCCCTAATCTGATTTCAAAATAAAAGAGAAGATATGGTTTATTTGAAAATACTAAAATTACCCTTTAAGTGATTAATAAAAATCCTCCTCTACATGGGCTCCAAAATTGGACTCATGTAGTCAAACCTTTGGGCCATCCTCCAACTAGGAGAGAAACCCAACAAAAAGTGCAGAGATGAGAAATCAGATAGTCAATGAAGCTGAAGAATATAATGAGTTGTTTATGTAAAAAGGCAGAAAATTTGCGAAACCAACAAAGTTCAGAATAGAGAAAGAGAGAAGGTAAAATTTCCAAAAGCCACTTTTCCATGTGTCCTCCCTCTTTCATTTGAAGAGCATGCATCTGCTTCCATTTTCCACATTCCTTCCAGCTTTATTATGAAGGTGAAAAATGAATGGGTTCTGCAGTTGTACTTGGCCTACCGAGAGAAACTCCATAAAGAGGCAGACAAACATTACTGGAAAGCCATTGTGGGGTTTGACCTCGAGAGGTGCCAAAATTGGAAGAGAAGGGGTAAGAAAGATGCTGAAAACAAATATTATGATTTGGTAATAAAGGGTCCAAAGCCTGATATTTAAGGATGTGGCAAAGATGGAAGAGTGAAAATGAAGAGAAAGATGCCAAGAATGGGTTAGGGCAAGGAATCATCAGCTTAGGGTCAGGAGGCTGCTTCGCATCATCTATCCTCTTGGTCTTACAGTATCCATTGATCAGAATGTTATAACTAACAAGTAACAACATCAGGTGAAAAACCCATGCTTATGGTTGAAATGATTAATCGAGGCGTAACTCCAAACACTACTAGTTACAACACTCTTATGAGTGGCTTGTTTCTTGCAGGGAGAATTTTAGAAGCAAAAAAGCTTTTCAAGGATATGCATGCCCAGGGCCACTCTCTAAATTTAATAACTTACTCAGTTTCGTTTGATGGCTTAAGCAAACAAGGGTATCTTGATCAGGCGAGAAATGCAAAATAGTTACTTGAAGTCTAATGTGGGAATCTATAATATCTTAATCGATGCCATGTGCAAATCTGGGAATCTTAAGGACGCAAGGGAGTTGTTTTCAGAACTATCTATCAAAGGCCTGCAGCCTGATGTTCAGGTTTTGACTACAATAATCAATGGACTTTGCAGAGAAGGATTGCTAGATGAAGCATACAAAGCTTTCAGACAAATGGAAGACGATGGCTGCCCACGAAATAATTATTCTTATGATGCTTTTATCCAAGGGCTTCTCCAGCACAAGGATCCAAAGGCAGTGCAACTTATTAGTGAGATGACAGGCAAAGGGTTATCTGCAGATGTGGACACCACATCCTTGGTGGTAGATGATGATCTTGTTGTCAAAAAGTTACTTGGCTTTTGTGAAGTTCATCAAGGGGAAAAGGTGACGTAATTGTTTCGTGTAAGTAATTATTAGTCGTGTTGAAGTCTTGACTGAGCCACCAATCACTTGCTTTTTGTTTTTGTGGTTGTTAGTTACTTGTTTGGGACCAGCATTTGGTGCTTGTGGATTATACATCGATACATTCGGATTCGGATTTATGTATGTCAATATGTGGTTTAACAGATTTAATTGATGAAAGCTATTCAAGCTTTCATCAATTAAAACTTTCTCACACAATTGATCAGATCATTTTAATTGAACTCCTCTGCTTCAACCAAATAAGAAATTTTGGTAGATTATTACATTAAAATCGTGCTGCATGTGGGCGGATGCTCCCCCACTTTTGCAAGTGAAAGGAACTACATATGGGAGTAGTGCTGCTAATTTTTGTTGTGTTTGTTTCTCTTTTATATTGGTTTTGAGTCTTTTGTTCTGTTCCTAGAATTGGGATATATATGTTTGTTTCCATTAATATGCAATGATGATGCATCTTGAAGCTAAAACAAAGCTGCTAATTAATATGAATCTTCTGCCTAGGATGGGAAAGATGCCAAGGATGCAAATCGAAAGGAAAGATGCAAGAATGGGACATGTCCAAAACTTGCACCTCCCACGGAAAACACAAACATGCTTCTAAAGATGCTGCAAATGTAACTTAGTCTGCTGCATGTGTTTTGGAGAGCTTTCTTGGTAACTGTAGAATTTTCTGGCATTATGTGCTAAGGAAAAAAGAAAGAAAAAGACCGATGCTTCTTTTTGCGTAATTAACTAGGTGAATCTCTCCTTGAGATTTACGTCGGATTGTTGCATTTCTTGACGTGTCATTGAACTATTTAGACGTTCTGTCCGGATTATAGTATGGCTATCCTTAAACATTTGAATTTTGGGAAGTAGCAAAAATAGAAAAGGTGCCCTGGTTTTAGGGAATTAAGTTTGTGAAGTTCTTACTACCATATCTGTTAACTAGTTAGGTTCAGACATCATGTTCAAGAATCGGGATGCTAGTGAAAAAAAGAGTATATTTTCAAAATTAATTCTCTTGATTATTTATGGGCACAATTTAGGGTCCACACTTTTCGACCACAAAATTGAATAGCTTAAGGACATAACAATCAGATTCAGTGCCGAAAAACAGGTTAGCTAGATAATAAATCTTGAGAAATTTTGGAAGGAGCGGACTTTTTTTTTTGGCATATATAGCCTAGAACTAGAATCTTATGGTTAAGTAAAAACAACTTTTTGAGAGAATTCCCATCTTCTTTAAGTAGTCGTAGCTCGTTGATGTTTCTTGACTTGAGTGAGAATAGATTATCTTGAGAAATACCGGCTTGGATAGGTGAAAAGCCTACGGGCTTTGATGTTCCTTTCCCTGTTTTGAAGGTAATTAAAAGAACATAATGATTGTTGTAGAAACAAAATACAAAACAGAGAAATAATGCATTATAAACAAAGTTAGGAAATTATTCAAAGGAACATACTAACTCGTATGTAATATATATTACGGACATTGGTAGAAACCTTGATTAGATACAACTCTTTGTATAGAAAATATAAGGATAAACTTTAGCTCAAGCAACTCAAGCTTATCTAGTAGAGAGTTTCTATGTAAACATCTTAGCTAAGGATTATCCCGCTTTGTATTTATCTCTGCAGCTACGGCTCCTATATATACGGAGCTGCAGTACATGTAATAGATGAGGCTGAAATATACAAACCGTGCATTGTTAAGCTTTGATTTTATATGGTATGAGAGCCATTAAGCTCCAACGAGCCGGATCCAACAGAAACAAATCATGGAAGCCACCTCATCCTCCAACCAAAATAACCAACCACGAACCAGCCACCGCCTCAAGCATGGTAACCCAAACAACACCATCCCTCCCTAATCCGATCGGCTTCAATGCCGCAGCCCAACTTCCCTTTAAACTCACCAACAGTAGCACCTATCCAACATGAAGGGCACAACTTACTACTCCGTTACTTGGGTATGATCTCATGAACTATATGAAAGGATCATACCCATGCCCGATCGACACCATTCAGCACCATTCATACCCATGCCCGATCGACACCATTCAACATGAAGGTCACACCATACCCAATCCCGAATTCAAATAGTGGCGGAGGCAAGATAACTTACTACGAAATGCCATCTTGTCCTCTCGTTGATGCCACTATTACGCCCTTGGTTGCAGCAGCGTCTACCTCCAAACAAGCATGGGACAATATATCAATAACTTATGCAAATAAGTCTCAAACCAAAATCTATGGTTTAAGAGCAAGCTTGGCAAAAATGGTAAAAGATAACAAACCTATAGCAGATTATCTAAGGGAGATAAAGACAATTGCGGATGAACTTGCCATAGCCGGCTCCCCACTCGAGCAATGATGAACTCATGATCAAGATTCTCGGTGGACTTGGATCCGATTACAAAGCAATTGGTGCAGCTATTTGTGCTCGAGATATTCCTATCACCTATGAAGTGTTGTTTGACAAACTCTCCGATCATGAAATCTTTCGATACATGATGAGGTCAAGAAAGATCCCACCCCTATCATCGCCCAATTTCATCGGTGTAGCTACCTCAATCGACATCGTGGAGGTAGCAACCATAATAACTCGACCTCCTACAACAAGTCGAGGGGTAGTCATCATAACACCAAGCAACTCATCACTCTCTTTGCATTCAAAGTATTACTCACCGGATCATCGCAACTCCCAATGGCAATCTCCTCCTTTGCGGACCAATAAACACAAGGTGCGAGTGCCAAATATGTGACAGATATGGGCACACGGCTAAAGCTTGCGAGTCATGTTTCTCCGAGCCCCAAGCTAACTTCACAGGACGCACCTCAATGCCCACCGAAAGTAACCGGGTCTTGGACTCGGGTGCCTCCCATCACATAACCTCGGATATTCAAAACTTGTCTCGTTCACTCGATTACAATGGCGGTGATGATATCATTGTTGGTGATGGTAATAACATTCCTATTTCTCACACGAGTTTGGTCAAGCTTACTACCCCCACTCACTCCTTTACATTAAAAAATGTTCTATGTGCTCCCAAAATCCAACATAACTTATTGTCGGTATCTCAATTTTGCAATTCCAATAACACCTCTACTCGAATTCTTTCCATCTTCTTTTGTTGTGAAGGACTTGACCACGGGGCGAGTGCTCGTTCGAGGCCGAGTAAGGGACATCTCTATGAATGGCCAAGTACACAAAATCATCTTCCATTCCAGCTTTTTCCGCAAGCCACGGACATACATACTCACTATGGCATCAACGCCTTAGCCATCTAAACACACGCACATTGCGGCAAGTTCTCACTCGCTCATAATCTTCTTTTTCAAAATCTTCGATTTCAAATTTTTGCAATTCTTGCCTTTGTAATAAAAGTCACAAACTACCATTTGGTGTTTCCTCTTTAACAAGCTCCGGACCACTTGAACTAATCTATACGGATGTTTGGGGTCCAGCTCCAATTACTTCTTGTGATGATTTTCGTTATTATGTAATCTTTGTAGATCATTACACGAAGTACATTTAGCTATATCCAATCAAACAAAAATCGAAGTTACCTGCAGTGTTTGAAAAGTTTAAATTACTTGTGGAAAAATACTTTCATTTGCCCATTATTACGAGTATACTCGGATGGAGGTGGTGAGTACCTTGGACTCACTCACCGCCTATCAGCTAACGGGATTCAACATCTTTTCTCTCCACCCTATACACCACAACGTGTTGGAGTTGCTGAACGTCATCACGGACATATCCTAGAAACAAGCACTCACTCTTCTTCATCATTCCTCTACACCACTACAATTCCGGACATATGCATGTCGGACCGTAGTATATCTCATAAATAGAATGCCCACTCCCAATTGTCCAAACACATCACCATTTGCATCTCTCGTTTCACACTACTCCTAACTATCACCACCTTCGCATCTTCGGCTGCCTATGTTATCCATGGCTTAAATCTCATCAACATCACAAACTAGAACTCAAATCCAACCCATGTGTCTTTCTTGGCTATTCCAAATCCCACTACTGTTACCGGTGCTTAGACCCTACAACTTCTCGCATATACCTATCTCGACATGTAGTCTTCATTGAAGACACATTTCCTTTCCAAAATCACCCATCCCATGTCGTTTGTGTAACTCCATCTCAAATCGCTAGTTGGACGAATGTATCTCCATGCCATGAAATACCACCTAAGCCCAACCCAATCAGCCAAACTATTCATGATTTTACTACTCCAATTCCTAGTCCTATACTTATGTGCAGTAAACCTCCTACTCCAACGACCACAAGTTTCACGTCCAATACCGAGGCCTCTACGAGTGCTCATCATGGTCTCACTCCTTCAACATCGATCGGCCCTCCCATTCACCCAACACTCTTAGGTATTGTAACTAGATCAAAAAATCATATTTTTAAACCTAAAGCTATATTTGATTATCTTGCGGTGACTACCGATACTACTCCTTCCTCCTTTGCACAAGCTCAAAAACATCTTCACCGGCGCACAGCCTATGAACATAGAATTTGATGCCTTAGTTCATAATCAAACATGGGATCTTATTCCCCCGACTCATCACAAAATCTGGTGGGATGCAAATGGATTTACAGAATTAAACGCAAGCCCGATGGAACCATTGGGAGTGGATTTTTTTGAAACATATAGTCCAGTTATCAAGCCTACCATAAGTACGGTTGATATCGGCTCTTGCTGTCCAACAACATTGGCCATTGCGTCGGCTTGACATAAATAATGCCTTCCTTCAAGGCAGCCTCAAGGAATGTGTGTTTATGAAGCAACCACCTGGATTCTCATACTCACAGTTTCCAAATCATGTATGTCGACTTCGCAAGGCCATTTATGGCCTCAAGTAGGCACCAAGGGCATGGTACCAAGAACTCGGAACATTTCTTCTCTCATATGGTTTTCAAAACTCTCAATCGGATGCCTCACTATTCATATTCTCCAAAGGAAGTACACTTATATTTCTGTTAGTATATGTGGACGACATTATACTCACAGGGAACTCTTCCACTACAGTTGAAAAGGTAGTCCATGATCTTGCTACTCGATTTTTCCTCAAGGATCTCGGGGATCTTAATTTCTTTCCGGGCATTGAAGTTACAAGAAACAAACAAGGTCTATTTTTATCTCAGCAGAAATACATTACCGATCCGTTATACAAGCATAACATGCTTGAAGTGAAGGGAGTTCATAGCCTAATGTCCACAACGAAAAAACTAGTTGCTGCTAGTGACCAACCTACTACCGATGCCAAACAATTTCGTGTGCTAATTGGGGCTCTCTAGTACCTCTTCCTTACATATCCCGACATCCGTTATACGGTGAACAAACTCTCCCAATTCATGCACAATCCTCGCGCCTCTCATTGGACAGCTGCCAAAAGAGTGCTTCGCTACCTCAAACAAACCGTCTCCTTTGGTCTCCATCTTCAAGCTTCCTCATCTCCAGCTCTTAAGGCTTACTCGGATGCTGACTGGGTAGGAGATCTCAATGACAAAACATCAACTTCAGCATATGTTGTGTTTTTAGGTGCCAACCCCATCAGTTGGTGCTCCAAGAAACAAAGGACAATAGCTCGCTCATCAACCGAAGCTGAGTATTGTGTTGTTGCAGCTTCAGTAGTTGAGCTCAACTGGATTACAAACCTCCTCGGTGAACTTCATTTACCTCTCACCTCGGTTCCCACAGTGTTTTGTGACAACATTAGCACTACGTACCTCTACAAAAACCCGATCTTCCACAGCAGGATGAAGCACATTAGTCTGGACTTTCACTTTGTTCGTGCTCAAGTACAAGCTAACACTCTACATGCTATCCATGTTGCCTCTCAAGACCAGCTTGCTGACTCCCTAACAAAGCCTCTCTCAAGAAGCTTGCATGAAGATCATAGGCACAAGCTATCCGTAGTTGACACCACGATCAGCTTGCGGGGGCATATTACGGACACTGGTAGAAACCTTGATTCATAACCAAATTTGGTGTTGAATTCAATTCATCAAGGAATATCTGCACCTACATAAGATGTGTATTAATCTAGTTGAACTATACCAATTCAATCTCTCATTTTTAGCGTTTTCTTCCTTTTTAATGTAATGTTCTCAACATAATTTTTTTAAAATAAAATAAAATAAAAATTAAACACTCTATTTTTGCTTTTGGTTTCTGTTAAATAATGGTAATTATTAGAAAGGCTTTCCTCTTTAATTATAACACTCTGGTTTCAATATATATTTTCTGTTGCAGTCGTTTTTTGTTGTTTCTTGCTGAACCATCCCGATTTGCAGGTATTAATTTACTTCAAGAAGTTGGTCTACTAGTTAAAAAATTTTATTTTCCATAAGAACTATAAGACTTTTCTTTGTAGACGGTATATAAGACAAAAGAATAACAACGAAACCAAATAGGATTGAAAGTTACCTTCATAAGAACTACTCGTTAGGACTCTAATTTCCAGCTTGCCATTTAAACCAGTTACTCTTAATTTGTTGTGCCGGCCTGTAGCTATAATCCAAGCACAAAATGACACGAATAATCAAACAAGAAATAAACCAAACCCACTTGATTCATGGACAAAATGACATGTGCAATCAAGTAAACGCAGTATTGACTGAATAAATTTGCAGGCTTGAAATCATGAAGTCCAGATAACTGTTCCTAGTTGTCGCACAAATTCTTGGACTTTAGAAAAAGCATTCCAACTTTAAGTTTTGCAGACAAATTTTGTAAGAAAGTGTGGCACCAATCACCAAGACCCAATTGACTTGTGTGACAAAGTTTTTGAAACTTTATTTTCAATCTGAATCATGTAGTTTGGCTCATTGGATCTCCTATAGAAAAATAATAACTCAAAAACATTCTAAACTTTCAGGTAAATTGAAATAAGCCATAACGTTAGAAAAATAATAATTTAACTAGTCTTATTGAACCAAATAATCACCAACTTTATAACTTTTAATCATATTAACATGTTTTTTTTAATGTTGAATAGAAAATATGCAATCTAAACTTTTATTAATCATATTAGAATGCGTGAATTTATCCGTCTAAAATTCTGTTATGATAGAAATAGTGATGACATGAACTAAATGCCACATAAGATCTCACATGGCATATTTCACAAATATCCTCCCCAAACTCAAAGCCTCCTGAACCAACTACAAGAGTGGAGGATTAGAAGGAATTAATGGAGAAAACCGAAGCCTCGCATTGAAATTAATTAAAGGAGAAATCAGAATGAAATATAGAAAAGTTAATAACTAGGCGCTAGTGATACTAAATGTGTCATTGAACTATTTAGACGTTCTTTCTCGATTATAGTATGGCTATCCTTAAAACAGTTGAATTTTGGAAAGTAGGAAAAACAGAAAAGGTGCCCCAAGCTGGAATCATTTGGATATGAGCATGAAAAACTCCATAAAGGATGCTTGGGAAAAGGGACATTATTCACATAAAAAGTTGCCGGTCGATTAGTTGCAAGTGCGAATTAGAAACAGCCTTTTTCAATGCCAAAAACCTGCAAAGGAGGCGAAGGAATGAAATTCTGGGATTTGAAGACAGTAGGGGGCAATAAAGTGTAGCAACGGCTTGACTTGTTATTCTAAACATGCTAAGTTTGAGTTCAAGCTGTATGGCTATGGTGGGGATGCAGTTAAGCAAAGCCTCAAATTCGATGCTTCAAATTAAGTTTGTTAGATATCATAAAGGAGGACTAACCAAAGACATATGCCTATCACCTGAAGAATTTGCGGTTTGGCTGGACTTATTTTCAAAAATGGAGGAATATTATAGTATGATAGCATTCCTGACCATTTGAGAGGCAATCTAGGTTTATGGTGCCCTATGCAACAAATGATTGTTCTGAATCTAGGCAACAAAAATTTGTCGGGTGAAATTCCAAGCTCAATAGGATCATTATTGTTGCTTCAAACATTGACTTTTAAGTAAAAACAACTTTTTGAGAGAATTGCCAGCTTCTTTAAGGAGTTGTAGCTCGTTGATGTTTCTTGACTTGAGTGAGAATAGACTTGTCTTGAGAAATACCAGCTTGGATAGGCGAACCCCACAGGTTTTGATGTTCCTTTCCATATTTTGAAGGTAATTAAAAAAACATAATGATTGTTGAAGAAACAAAATACAAAACAGAGAAATAATGCATTACAAACAAAATTACAAAATTATTCAAAGGAACATACCGACTTTGTATGTAATATAATATATAGAAGCTTTTCTACAACATTCTCGGCCACTCAACAGATCTTGCAATGTTATTGTGGAGAATGGCTGCTGCAATGGAGGCCATCGAACTATGAGTCGTGAAGCAACTTTTCTCATGGTTGGCCTAAATTTGGGATCGGCAACCAAGAATGCACGTGCTATTTTGGTCATGTAAACTACACCATCCGCAACATGATTTTTGGAAATGGGATCCTTTGGTCTATAATGTCCTTCAACAATGTATGCTCGGTGTATTTCGAGGATGATGACAAGGGAAATTCGATGATGAAAGAGATGAGATGAGACCACCTGGATACCTTCCCATAATTACTTCCATTGTTACCACTCCAAAGTCGTAGACATCGCATTTTTTGTTCACTTTCATTGTGTAAGCTAGTTCTACAAAATAATTAGCTTTATAATTAAAGCAGGAAATATATAAAGAAAAATTTTGTTATTGATGTATATGGTAGGAAAGAAATCAAGAAACGCACTCGGAGCCGTGTATCCAAAAGTGCCGACAAATAAAGTCCAATTGCTTGAGTCCGGCATCAAGAGCCTTGCTCGTGCCGAAATCAAAAACATGAGCCTCATATTCTTCATCCAAAAGAACATTATTACTCGAAATGTCTCGATGAATGAGTGGAGGAGTGCGATCATGGTGCGGATAGGATAATACACTTGCCACCCCTTTAACGACATTAAGTCTTTTCATCCGAGTTTAACTCCATTGCTTGATCCTCATCATTTAAAATCTTCCTCAAACTTCCCTTTTCTATGAACTCATAAACTAGAAAGGAGTGCTTTCTATGTGAGCAGAACCCATATAACTTCACAATATTTCGATGTTGTATGCCAATTAACACACGAACCTCACTTCTAAAAGCTTTGAAATTGGTGAACTCGCCCTCTTGTGATTGGCGAAGATTCTTTACAAGCAACCACCCGATTTGTCGACAACACTCGCTTTGTAAACAATTCCATAGCCTCCTTCCCCTATATAGTAGTTGGAATCGAAATCTTCGATGGCCTAAATGATGTTCTCATAGACCATCTTCCCATCATAGCTCCATATTGCAAATATGTCTTGACAT